TTTCTTCTTCTGCAGATATGATGAAACCTAAGTAGGGGGAATATGGAAGGCAGACCTGGATATCTGCTGTTGGTGATGTTTTAGAGCCCTCTAAGCTAATATAAACTGAGCTTGTTGTGCAACTTTAGTGATGAAAATTGTTTAAACACGTATGCTATGCATGGGTTACTTTTGTTTGTAGTGTTATGATTGACTGGATACTTATTTTTCTCTTGTAGTGTTACGGTTGGCTGGATACATTTATCTTGATGAATTCATAGTGATGCTAAACGCAGGGTTCCATGCCTATGGTTTAGTGTTTAGAACTAGAATGGCTTTATGCTTTTCTCTTGATAATGAAATTGTTTAATTGCAATATAAGGAAGTATGCCATGTGTGAGAATTAATCTTTAAGATTTGCTGTTATAAGTTGCCTTTGCAATTTCTTGTAATGGGACATTCATAAATTGGCTTGGTAATTTAAACTCTCAATTTAACAAGCAAGCCTCCCTCCTCATTTAAAAGAAAAATAAAAATCGCTGCTACTTATTACTTATTAGGGCAAAAGACACAGGCCTCCATTTAACTTCTAACCGTTCTTGGTGGATTAAAATCCGTTTCCGTTTCCGGCCAGAGCTCCCATCCTTACAATCCAAAACATCCCCGAAATCCAAATGTGGATTGGCAAAGCAAAAATCAGGTAAATGTCTGCACAACTTTCTCTAAGCTATTAAATTTCTGCGGAGCGTCAACAAGTAAACTAAACTCAGAACAAGTTTTCATTTGTTTAGTTCAAGTAATCAAGAGTTCAAGATTACACGATCGGTGTACAGAGATGCAAAGTCTCATTCATATTATATTTACAGCAAGCAAATATGTGATGGAAGACATCGGTCACGCTTTAAACCTACTAAAATTAGAGTTCCGGACATCAAATGAAAACTTGTTATAAGTTTAGTTTACTTGTTAAATCTTGTTTTCACGCCTATTTTTCTCGCTACCAGTATCATTTACTGCCATCCAAATGTTGTTCCCAGATTTACAGAGGTGAGAAGACGGTTTTCAACCGTCGAGTCCCAATCCACCCCCATTTCTGTGGCTGACCCGACCCCAACCGTGACCTCCACACCGATCTCGATCCCTACCCAATTCCCGGTCCCGACCCCTACGTCCGGGACCGGGACCCCGACCCCGACCCCTACCCAATCCCGGTCCGGGACCGGGACCGGGACCCCGACCCCTGCAACCCAAACCCCAACCTCAGCCCCAGGCGAGACTGACATTAACCTTGGCGATTTAGCTTTATCATCGGTCGTCACGGGATCAATCGCCACAGGTCTCGTGTTATTGCAAAAGAAATTGGAGCAGATGCTGGATAGGGAGGCCCGTGCCACGGCAGTTAAAGCGTTGGAAGTTGCCAATTTGAGCGCCAAGCAAATGGAAATGCAGCTTGAGGTTACAAAGTTGCAGGAAAAGATCAACAACTGCAACCAAAGATTTAACGATATATGGGGTTTTACTCTTCATAGCCGCTGTATTCGCCGTCGGCGCCTTCGTGAACACCAGACGGGGACCAAATGAGGTACGTTTACAAATTATTGTCTGGCATTTCGTTGTTTAGATTTTCTCCCCCCAAAATGGGTTATAGAGGAGATTTACAAGGATCCTGCTCTTGCTTACATGGATTAATGGATAAGGAGAAATTTTGAATGCATCTGTTGGATGTGGCTTCATATCGGTACTCAAAGGAACAACACTTGTTATTTTGGCTTTATGCTTGCTTTTAGGGACAAATTTGAGTATCTCTTGGGAGATACCATCTTCGAAGAACATATTTTTAGCATATTTTACACCGGAATAAATGAATTAGGAGTATAATCTCTGAATGAGTTATAATTTAATCTTGTACCATGTCATGATATCAAAAAATACTAGTTGGACTTGCTTCTCTTAGTGAGCTTTGCTATCCTTCTTATCTTGAGAAAGATAGAATGTGCAAGCTTCCTAAGGTTGGAGCTCTTCAGTAATATGACAATGTAATTTTGCTTTTGGTTATGATTGTAGTTTTTACATGAAGTTTGTGCATCTCTTGCAATACATGTTGAATAGCTTTAAAGCTGCAGTTAAAGCAGATTAGCAAGCCAGAATGGAGAAGCTGTGGCTTTGCACAGTAATTTTTTAGTTGTATGTTTCTGCAGTTTGCGGTTATAAATCTATATGCCATTCCACACTGTCTAGGCATGATGCTCAATAACTAGTATATATATCCTTAATATTGTAAAGATGAGAATGAGTGGAATTGGATTGTCAATTGAATTCCAATTTAGATGCTCAATTATTTTGACTGGGCCACTTATTTTGACCGGATTTGGTTATTTGGTAATTTAAAGCAGTTGCTGTGGTTATTTGGTTATCAATTGATTTCATCATCTAATTTGATCTCTGGTTGGCTGCTGAGACTGTTGCGGTATTATTGTGGATTTGTTGAATTTTTTGGGGCATCTTCATCTTTTGGTTAGATAATGGACTGGTTATCTTGTAAGTTTTAACAATTCCAGTGGCTTTTGCCGTGAACTTGACAAACATCCTAGCAATTCCATTCTCTCCTCTAACCTTCCATTGTTGTCACTCTGTCTCCCCACTCCGATCTCCCAATTGTCCACAAATTGCTTCTCTTCCATTGTATACTCCTTTTCTGCACAGACCAAGCATGGAGGTAAATTTACCTGTTGTGTCATCATCTTCATCTTTCACAGCTCTAGTGTTAATCTGGGACAACAATAGAGCGTAGAGAGCCGATGGTTAAAAGACAAAAAATTCCCTCAGCTCATCAACAATTATCTAGCAATTCCTGCCTCTTCTATTCAATCGCACCACCCTTCGTTCACTTTCACAGACACATGGGCATGCATCTTGGCGAGACTACCCAGATTCATTACTTCCTCTCTTGTATTTTACAAAATTTTGTTCTTACCCTAAGTTTTGTCTTATTTGTTTCTTTCAAATTTTCATTTCTTTGTTTTCTAGATTGTGAGCACTTTTGTAGCTGGTGTTTGTGCTCAAAGATTCTCTTTTTTTTCATTGAATTTTTAAAATTTGAGTTTAATCTTTGATTGATTTCTATTTGGGGAATTGATTTTATATGGCTTTTTAAGTGGTACGTATCACTTTTTTTTTAATAAATTTTGTATTTGAATTCAGTTTTTCTATTTATCTATAGCAATTCTGTTTTTGTGTGGTTGATAGAGGATATAGGTGGTATATTAGTTTCTACCTTTGAGAGCAATTATTTGAATGTTAGGCAAATGAGGTATGTTCATGGGAAGGAAAATAAAACCCCTTGACTTATTTTGCTGAAGAAAACTTTTTGTCCTCAAATGAGCAATTATTGTTCCTGCTCCATTCTTTGTCTCCAGCAGTTGTTAAGTATGAAGATATCAAGTGTATTAAAGTGTTCCTTTGTCCCAGAAGACTCTGAGAGTAGTGGCAGTGGTGAATAAATCAGGTTTATATCATTTATTTCTTGATTAATTATTATAATTGTTGTTTTGCTTAATCTACAAATTTCGTCAGTTAAATGATTAAGATAAAATCCGTTTGGGTATTTGGTATCGCAATGATGGGATGAAGGGAAATTTTTTCTGCTCAAGTTTGGTCAGTTCTCTCAATAGTACAACTTTTCATTGGCTTCAATACAGAACAGGCTATGAGACGTCCCGTAGCTGGGCTATTTTCCCTCTTTTTACAGTTGTTGAGAAAAAGAATTGCTAAACAAGTGAATGATAAATCAGCTTGTTTTCTATGTTTGCTTGATCCTGTGGAAGGTTTTTATTTTTTGAGGGTGAAGCTATATAAGTGCTATAGAATATTTACTCCACTCCTTGCATGTGAGTACCCATTGTTATGCACCAGAATGAGATTCAAAGGGACTTGATCTAGCTTTTAACTTAACATGATGACAGTTTTTGCACATTGAAAACTACATGAGGACTTTCAAATTTGCAGTGGGATAATTCCTGCTATTGCCACTTCAGCTATTGCTAATGATAGTCCATTTTGTCAATTCTAACTGGCTCATGCTTTTTAGTCCAAACTTGAAGTCGCCATAAAACATGCTTTTGATATTACAAATCGCTTACAAGAGTTCTTACGACTAGCTCACTGATATAATTCTCACATCGACAGTGAAATTCAATAACTCTTTCTGTTGATTAAGGCAAAACTTAGTTTTTCTACAAAAAAAAAAAAAAAAAAAAAAAAAAAAAAGCTGAATTTGGCGCATGCAAAGAGTGTTGATGAACAGAGCGGTCCAAAGTGGCAGAACATATGACACAATGCATCATGGCCCACGATCATCACAGAAGAGCCGGGTAATTGAATTCGACACTGACTGCACAATAGCCCAAAAGAATTTGGACCATTTCTCGATTTGTGCGTGTCATCCTTGCCAAGGGACCATGCTAATCTTCTCTATTTCGTTCCAATTTTATCGGATGTCTTCGAAGGGACGTCCAAAGCTGCATGAAGAGCAAATATAACCTGCTTGGCTTTTCTGATCGCAGGCGATGTGGGAACTGAGTGCAATTATATGCATTAAAAGAGTGCGACTGCCATCAAAGCTGGCTCGAAAAACTGAACACCTGAATTCCAAATACTTGTGCGCTTGCCTATTGTCCATTCTTGAAACTAGAACTCAACTTCATTTGGATCTGATTATTAGAATCCAGTCTACTATCGAGCTAAAATATGACAATGAATTGATATCACAATAAGATTACTCCATTGCCAGGTATACTGCTAAATAAGTCTCTCCATCTCCCCAACAATGTATAACACACAACACACAAGGAACAACAAGTACAGCAGAAAGAATGGCTGCCCCTTCGTAAATTAGTTCCAGACATCATTGCTTTCTTCTACCATTCTAATGTCTCTACCACATTCACCACTTCTCTCCCTCTTGGGAGTAACACCAACAGATTATTGCAAGAATATCCCTATTGATTTGCGGAATAACACAGTTAAACGATCTATGAGCATAAGAAATACCAGCATCAATAAACGAGAGACAGAGAGAGCTACTTCAATATTCCAAGGCAAGTACTTTTCCAACTAACAAGTAAACTGGCTATCAAACGCGACCATAAGCAATGCTCGGAATATATTCTCCCACTAACAACCACAGACTACTTCAGCAAGGGACATCAAGATTAGCAAGACAAATAGTACAATTTCTTAATCAGACTTGATCTGGCCATCCCAAATCTCCTCCCTAAGCAATGCTCAAACATAATTACAAGAGTGTTTTAAAATACTCTCTCAAAGAGCCTCCCATTGCTTTCACACTTGATTCGCTTTAATAATAGCCAACACTTCTCAGATCTCCTTGTGATGGTTTCTGGTTATCACTTCCTTGTCCCAAAAACACCAGCCGACCTACAAGACCCACATAACCAGAGTTCACCATATTATCAGTGTTTCACCATTTTTTTTTTGGGTACTAAATGAAACTTCCAAAAATTCATTGACAGAACAAGCTTTATACATGTAACTTTATAGGAATAGATCAATTGAAAAGCAAAATTGGAGTGCTCCATTTGTATCTGTTAACAGATACTGTATATCCTATTCATTAAGCAGTCATGCAAACAGTCTAGTCAGGTTTTCAAGTGACCAAATGCTTTCATATTTTGGCATCAGAAGAGATGAGACACCATAGTCTAACATACATAAAATTTCTTTCAAACATCGTTAAAAAAAAAATCACCAAGCGGCAAATAGCTGAAAAAACAGCATCAATATAAGTACAGAAATATGTAGTTTACCAACATGAAATCAGAAAATAAAACAGATTGAATTGATACTGTACCTTCAATAAACATAGTTTCTTGTTTCTGGAGACAAGCACTATAACTAACAACAGTGCAATTATGATAGTATGTGGGAACACGGTGATAAACTTACCATTTCGGCGTATTGCAATCTCTCGTATACGTCGAACTAGACCAGTTATCGGATCATTAAATATCTTAGTCTCCAGATTTCCTTCCACGTACAAGACTGATCTGTGAGGTGATGCAAACATCAATAACATTAAGGATATAACCATAACTCAAAAGAAAGTGAGCAATTGATTGATGCACTAACACGTGGGAGCAAGGGATGCTCATGGTTGTTAAGTGAAGAACAGTGCATGCTGATGAGTATAAGTGCAGGGCAAATCGTGCTCAAAGCTAACTCAGTAGAAAGAAACACAGAGAGAGAGAGAGAGAACAGAGAAAAACAGCCAATGTATATCTCCATAGGCTACAATCTTTAATAAATCAACTATGATAAGAAAGTAGACTGATTAAACATAGTAACAATGCCCAAGGACCACCAGTTTGTATCAATACAAATAGTACAACTAAAGGGGTAAGACTTACGGAGCAGGATTTGGTGTACAAACACCAACAAATTGAAAAAAAAAAAAGTGAAATTCTTGAACCGCAACATAAACCATCTAATTTGGTGGTCTGCCAAGTAATCTACAGAACTGACTCACTTTAGTATTAAATTCCCAATTATGAGATTGTCATTTCTCAGAAACCAGCAGAACGCAGGACATAATCCAAGGTTCATTAATTTGGATTCTAAGTCTCTTTTCACCACTTTCAATTGAATTAAAAGTTCATGTTAGTATACACAAGAGTTTGACATGTTATATGCAATAACTTTTAGAATTTCAACACTTAAGAGCCATAACCTTTGCAAAATGTCAATCACAGAAGCCTAAATAAATCCAAACAGGCTCACCCTGGTACTGCATGCTTCACAGTTAGCGCTCCTAACCTCTCAGGGTAAACTGCAACCCTGTGCCATTGAACTGCACACCTATCTGCAAATTCTCTAGGCTCCTCATTATCAAATGGCCTCCTATTGTTCCGAATCCCACCTGTCCCAAGTGACAGCATAGTGACTGCCTTCCCATTCCTTAACTTCTTCTGAAGAGGAGCCTGCCCCACCAGACCAATCAATACAGCCTGTTCCACATACATCATAGAGTTACGGATGCAAATCAGCTTCGTTTTGTACATGCAAAATTCCTCTTAATCCAAAGAATTCAAAAGAACATTTTATAAGCTTTTTTCAAAAAAAATTCCCTTACAAACTAAACTCCTGATCAATCTGGGGGGGGGGGGGGGGCGGGGGAAACACACGCCAAATTTGAAAAGAAACAAAAAAAATTTTCAAAATTTCCCCGTATAAACAAACAAAAAATATCAGTTAGAACATAATAAAAGTTCAATCTTGCCCTGACACAAACTTTCAGTCAGATCCTAATAAAATTCTAATCTTTGACCTGCTAGTAATTTTCATTATAAACTAATAAGAATTTCATCCTGTCTAACAAAATTTTGTGCAAAGTAACCCCACCAAAAACGCACAACAATTTTTATACATTACAGAAAAAACAAGAAGACAAGATTACTGTCGACATGTAAAAACAAATTAAACTTTGAAACTATTCTAACAGTTATTACCATGACAATAAATTCCAAAAAAAAAACAAATTCAGAAATGTTCAGCAAAAATTGGACCTTGTAAATGCCAACATCCAACCCATTTTCGAGGGGACGACTCCGAATGACGCGCTGCTGCTTAGTTGAGTCTGAGGAAGAAACAGAAAATGAAGAGGGGGCCGCTGACTCAGCATCGGAATGGGCCGAATTGACAGTGGAGGGTTCGTCCGACTCTGAGGAGGCGTCCACAAAAGAAAAGCTTTTTGAGCAGAAGGAATAAGAGAAAGTCGAGGGCTTTGATCTGGGGTTTGAGAGAAGAAGTCTACGGCAAAGTGTCCTTGAGAGTGAAGACGCCATTGATGAAGAGAAAAGAAATGATCTGCTAAAATTTGGGGGAAATTGAAATGAAATCCTTATCCCTTTAACCCTTCTATTCTTAAACCCTTTTATTTTTTATCTTAATAATTTTTTTTTTTTTTACCTTACCAAAAAAAAAAGAGCGAATTGCGCGAAATGTCACTAAACTATTTCAAAGTGCCGGTTCTGGTCACTAAACTTTTTTATTAGCGCGAAATGTCACTGAACTAGTAAATCTATACCGTTTTGGTCACTCCGTATATTTGTGCCGTTAGGAGAGACGGAAATCAACTTTTTGAGGGGCAAATTTGTCTGCACAGCCTTTTCCTTGAAGCTTTTACATAATCATGAGAGACGGAAAAACGGAAGACAGCAATGCATCAAAATTTCTCAAACGTGAGGAAGCGAATTGACCAACTTAACCGATTTTTTCCACGAGGAAAGAAAAAAAATTGCAAATAAAGCATCTTTCAATAAGAACTTTTAGCTAGGCATTTCGTCGAACACCAAATGAGCATAAGAAATTTCACCGATTCTTTTGTTCAATTTGAAGTTAATCAGCCCAAGAATTGGTAAGAAACATAAAGACATTCAATCCCAAACAACACAGAAAGCATGTATACACAAAATTGCGTACAATCAACATACAAATCACAATAAGCTAATCTCGGTTTTGAGATTCTTATAGGTCTAAGCTTGAGGAGAAAACAGAATTTGTTCGGTTGAAGGGGAAAGAGGACTTACCACATCTGTTCGATTGAAGATTTGCAGACGACGATGATGGAGGATTCTGGGGAGGTGATGGCGGCTTCCTTCGAGCGGCGGCGGCTTCAGTGGCGGTGAGCGCAAAAACGAACAGCAGCGGCAAAAGAGATGCGCTGATGCTCTTTCCCCTCTTTCTCTCGTCCTTCGTCCAGACCTCTTTTCTTCATCCTCTGTTTTCCAATTCCTCCGCAGCTCCTCCTCTGCTTTTCTTGTTTTTACTTCGTTCGTTTTTCCCATTTCTTCTTAGCTGAAAAACCTCTGGCCCTCTTTCAAGTTTTCTATCCGAAGCTTTTTCCTTCCTTACTCTGTATCCGGCCACAATTTAGATTTGCAACTCTTGCGTTGCCTCACCTGAGCTGACGCTAATTTGGCACTAATTTGGGGAGTGGGAGCGTGGGAGGAAATTTTATTTGAAAATGGTGGCAGGCATCAATTTGACCTCGCCGAAGTCCACTTTATTGCTAAATCATTCATCTTCAGGAGAATCAAACACTACTGCTTTCCTTGGTGGGTCACCTTTAAATGGCTTATCTTTTCAATTAAAACCCAAAGTAATCAAGAATGTCAATTTGGTAGTTGCTTCCGGAAAAGCCATCAGCAGCACGAGTGGTAGCAGTGGCGGAAGGTTCTACTTCAATATCACTGGGTTTCCTTTCCCTCTTGGCCCTTTCCTGAATAGGCGGACAATCAGAACTGAGGTTAGTAATTTGCACCCTCGTTTTTTCAGTCCTGGCTCTTGACCTTTCTGCATCAGAGCAATAATCCTGTCTAGTTGAATTTCTGCTTTGCTGCCGTTTTTCTTGTGGGTTAGTTTCGTGAGTCCTGTGCATATACTGTCCATCGATCATCCAATGAAAGGTTAGTTTCGTGCTCTTGACCGATAAAGGGTAAGTAATGATAAATAATGTAAGGAAAGGTAAGTAATGATAAAGGGTGTTCTTTGTTACAAATGGTGAAAGAGGGAGGAGGAGGAAGAAGAAAGAAAAAGGGAAAGGAAGGAGAGTGGAGGTGGAGGTGATGGCGGTGGGTGGCAATGTAGGTGATGGATGGTTGTGGGTGAAAAAGAATGAGGGCATAAATTTTTTAACCATTGTGTAGACGAAATTACCCCTTAAAAAGTGATTTTTCGTCTCTCCTAACGGCACAAATACACGGAGTGACCAAAACGGCATAGATTTACTAGTTCAGTGACATTTCGCGCTAATAAAAAAGTTTAGTGACCAGAACCGGCACTTTGAAATAGTTTAGTGACATTTCGCGCAATTCGTTCAAAAAAAAAAAACAGAGAGAGAGAGAGAGAGAGAGAGAGAGAATACGAATTTGGTCCTTATTGAGTTATGATTTTGCCAAAACATATTTGTCTCTCATCTAAGTTATCTTTAACAATTTTTGCAAATGCATAAAGGATATTTAATTGAAAAAGCTGTTAATTAACATTTTAAGTGAATTAAAAATAGCAATTTAATTCCATTTTGATTGGAGAAAGGGCCAATTTTAGTCACATAAAATTTCCATTAAAATAAATTGAAGACTATATTGATAGGGGGAGGGTTGAGTGAGGTAATAAAATGACAGGAATTATAAGTAGGGATGTCTATCAGCCAGTAATCCTGAATTTGATTAAAAAAAAATTCCAATTTTTAAGGACTTGATTGTTTAAGACCAATATTTGATTATCTTTCAAACTTTAGTTTGGTAAATTAGATCGAAAAATCAGTAATTCGTTAATATCTAAAATAAAAAATGTCAATAGTGAATTAAAATATTTTAATTTTTTTTCTAAAAAATTGTTGTAACAAAATAATATCCCATGAATTTTTTAATAAAATTCAATCAACTTAATTCAAACAAACATGATATGCCAAAAAAAAAGGGGTTTATAATCCTAAACCCTAGCTCATAATCTCAATTCTTAAACAACATTGAAATGAACAAGAATTCTAGATTTAATTGTCAAACTAAAGTCCAACATGCCAACTTCCATCAAAATTTGTATTCCAAATATAATTATAATTAAGTTAGCTAATTAGTAATTACAAATCAGTATTTAGTAATAGGATTAAGATTTAATCTTATATTTAGTAATAAATAAATATATAATATAATATTATAAATAATTTAATAATTCGGTTGGTAATCGGTAATTCAGTAATATATTTTTAATATCTGTTCCCAAACCATTTTACCGAATATTATATTTCAATTTTTTTGAATTCCGTTGTTCGAAAATTCTATTTAAATTAGATCGGCTGATTTTTAGATTTTTTTCTGAAATATGAACACCCGTAGTTGTAAGTAGGAGGTCTGAATTCAAGACCTCCCACTTATCCAAAAAAAATCACTATATCGACACTCCTATTATTACTTAACTTTTAAGTTAAAAATTCAAGTAAATTACTTCAAATTTATAATTCACATGTCAAAGCAAAATACGAGTATAGTATTCGAAGTAAGTTCAAAAAATTTCTTCGTGTTATACAACATTGGGAAAGGCGGTATATGTCCTCATGTGTGAAGATTCAAAACAAATGAATTGAAGTTTAAATGGATTGAAGGGATGTCAAAGCAAAATATGAGTATAGTATTCCAAGTAAATTAAAAAAAATTTCTTCATGCTACACAACATCGGGAAAGACGGGCATATGCCGTCATGATGTAAATACTCAAATCAAATGGGTTGAAGATTAAATTGATTGAAGGGATATATGTTGAATTGATAGAGTCGTTATAGAGCTAGCTACACCTTAAACTTTGTTTCTTGCTTAATCTTTCTAGCTTGTTAAACTTCAATTATTTGCTAAAGAGTTCTTTTTCTTCTCTTATTTCCTTATGCTCAAGATCGTCTTTTATTGCCATTGTCTACTTACTCTTAAAGTTATGTTATTAGCTGGAAAAACTCATAAAGAAGGTACCGGAAAGTCCATTCATATTGAGTTATATCTACCTCTCTCTTTTTTTTCTTTTTTCTTTTTTTGAGAGCAAAACTGTTCAATTTCTATTCATGGAAAGAATCAAGGCCATCTTTGCATTAGCTATGTACTCTTACTGATCCTGTCTTGTCCATACATACTTCACTATCTATCAAAACATACTACCGGGATTCCCCACTCTGCAATCAATCTCCAGTTGTCATGGGTTTTTGGTACCTGTCTCCACGAAGCACCAACATGCCTGATAGTGTTAATAATTTGAGCAACTATTATTTCTCACAGAGGATGCCGTTTCTTGCTGGAAAATCACTCGATTTCTCGCTTTCCAGATTGTTGGAATATGCAACTTTTCCTACATATTTTGCTAGATTATGTTTAATATCAAAATAATTTAGTTATTAGAAAAATAAGGATATTTGTTAACCAAAGATCATATTGGTTTGTTAACAGATATTTTAGATAAGATTTGCTAGTAGTAGAAGATTATATTTTGTTGAGATTTTTAGGATAATTGTTAGTTGGATATTTTGCTAGTTTGTTTCATGTAATCACTATAAATAGTGAGTTGATGAATGTAGAATATAAGCTCATTTTCCACCTTCAATGGAAGTCTCTTATAAGCTTTTTTTGCAACACTAAGGTGTTGTTTCTTAGTTTATGCCCCCAAAAAACCAACAAAGTGGTATCAAGAGCCTAAATCTTAAGGGCCTGTATCTTTAAGAGTGAGTGCATTGGTGAAGATCCTTTATAAGTTCAAAACCATGACAGGAAAGAACTTTTTGTCAAATATTTCAACTTTTAGTGGTGAAACTTACCAAATTTGGGCCATAAAATTTTGGACTTATTTGGTAGTCAATGATTTACGGGATATGGTGGAGACGAATTTTGTTTTATCAGCATTTGAAGAGCTGATGGACACACAAATTAGAGACCACAGAGTTGCAGTCAGACAGAGATCCAAGGCCAGCATTCACATATCAGTTTTTGATGCCGTTTTCACAAAGATAATGGCTAATGATTTGATTGAGAATAAATTATTCTCAATTAAAATAAAAAGGAGAAGTTTCACTATGAATTGGTCGGATTTTGACAATTCTAAAGTGGAACATGATGATGAAATCAAGAATTCAGATCCTGAAAAAATTCAGGAGGAGATCATTGATAAGTCAGGAGATATCAAATTGATTCCTGATATTTATCAAGATTATAACATTTCTGTTTTTGAGTCTACAGATTTTGATGGTGATGACAAAATGAAGAATCATGCAGAATTTCATATTTTCTGTATAGGTTCAAATATCGTCAAAAGATGTTCCATTTTAAACCTATGAGAAGGTTATTTGGAAACATTAAAAAAAAAATCATCTTTTATGTGGAGTTTGGCATGAGAAGACAGAAGAAGTGGCTAGTTGCAAGGCTAATATTTAGCTTGCATAAAAATCCAAAGGAAGAAGTTCATTGCAAGGTGAATCATCAATTGTAGAATTTCTTACAAAAGTCTCTCCAAAACAAGATTCAAAGATTTGAGAAGACAATTCAAAATCTGCAGCAAAAGTGGCAAGGAGGAGTGTTGGAAACATTAAAAAAAAAATCATCTTTTATGTGGAGTTTGGCATGAGAAGACAGAAGAAGTGGCTAGTTGCAAGGCTAATATTTAGCTTGCATAAAAATCCAAAGGAAGAAGTTCATTGCAAGGTGAATCATCAATTGCAGAATTTCTTACAAAAGTCTCTCCAAAACAAGATTCAAAGATTTGAGAAGACAATTCAAAATCTGCAGCAAAAGTGGCAAGGAGGAGTGTTGGAATATGCAACTTTTCCTACATATTTTGCTAGATTATGTTTAATATCAAAATAATTTAGTTATTAGAAAAATAAGGATATTTGTTAACCAAAGATCATATTGGTTTGTTAACAGATATTTTAGATAAGATTTGCTAGTAGTAGAAGATTATATTTTGTTGAGATTTTTAGGATAATTGTTAGTTGGATATTTTGCTAGTTTGTTTCATGTAATCACTATAAATAGTGAGTTGATGAATGTAGAATATAAGCTCATTTTCCACCTTCAATGGAAGTCTCTTATAAGCTTTTTTTGCAACACTAAGGTGTTGTTTCTTAGTTTATGCCCCCAAAAAACCAACACAGATGCAGTAATTTGAGACAGCCAAGGCTGTTCTACGAAATCTACCAATCCCAGTTTGTACCAGGTGACTTCAGGTGATACTGGTCTGAGTTTTTGCATAGCAAACCAGAGTCCAATTTTGACAGATTGAATCCAGTAAGCAAGTTCTCAGAAAAGTGCAAGTATAATGGCCCTAGCGGATGCCATTGGTCATTCCAGAAGTTGGTATCTTGACCATTTCCAACCACCTGTTTGATGAAGCCTGGAGCTATCGTTCTCAGCTTTAAAACTCCAAGAGCAGTCTGATGATGATTTAAGCTGAATTATGCGTACCCACTTCACCCATAATGTATCCTTCTTGGCTCAAATATTCCATATCCGCTTAACTTGAGGACCAAACATTGATTCCATAGAGTCAAGTCATGCACACCCAGGCCACCTCCTTTTTTCTTTTGGCTTACATATATGATACCAGCTAACTTTGGCTCCATACTGCTGCTTTATTTCACCCGACCAGAGAAAGGAAGATACTATATATATAAGCTTTCTATTCTTCTTCTTCTAATGACTCTCTTTAGGCGGCGGAATAAATGCACTCGACTCGACCAATATATTTGAACACCAGCAAGTGCAGATTTAATAACTTGCAGTCTTCCTCCATGGCTGCTGATAAGATAAAGAGATCATCTGCGAAGGCAACATGGGTAAGTCCCAACTGGTTGCACTTTGGGTGGTAGTCAAATCCCTGTTCAGCAATGTACATAGTAACATAGAGATATACTAGGAGGGGATCACCGCGCGTTGCGCGGTGGGTGAATGTAATGATGCCCAGTAATGCCCAAGCTGAATAAAAAATTTTGTAAAATTAGTTAATTCAAAGAAGAAGTAATGTAGATTAGTTTAGCTAGAAAGAAGTGAAAACTACCAGTAATGTATTCAATTGATGGGTAAATTACACTGCATGATTCAGGTAAATTTATTAAGCATCCGAATAAACATTGAATGTGTGAAACCAAGGAAAAAGTTTCTCAACTCCGGTATCATCAAAGATCAAAACTGTGAATATATTTTCAGATTCCGGAATAAAGACAAGAGTTTCATTGTGCTGCAATTCATGTTGAAGAACGAAATCTCTCCAGTTTTGGTGAAGGCGTTTATGCTTTACACCAACTTGAGTACTTCTGTGTCCAGTGTTGATAAGTAACATGGGAGTCTTGATACCATTGATGAAGTGATCAATAAAGCGCGGGATTTTCTATCATCAAGAGGTGCAGATTAGAAGATATATAGAAAGAAAAGGCAATTGCTTGTGAGAAAGTTGAGATGAAAAAGAAAATGCAGTTAAGCATAGAATAGCTTACCAAACTGTTTGGAGTCGCCGAGTTAAAGACTTGATAAAAGCAAACCGAATCAGATAGATCTTGACAGAAATCTGGCCTTAGCGAGGAAGAAACTTCTTGTTGTCCAGCGGCTATTTGGATACCATCTGTAATTAGTGACTATGCATTACATTAAAAATAATAGATGATATAGATGTGGATGCGAGATAGATACAATGATATGTTTACCTCTTGATGCAATAGGATTCATGTGCAATAGGTCTGGCAGGGGAACGGTCCAAGGCAAAAGAACTTGTTTCTGTAGTTCACAAAAATGAATGACATCGAATATTAGATTTCCGCTATGTCGAAGTAATAGTGTGTCATGCCTTTTGACAATATTGTCTTCACAAAAAGCATCCCAGCCTTGTGCGAATGCATGGTCCGTGACTGTGATAGGCCATTGCCGCAGTCCAAACCTTAGAATAATTCTATTGTTGTGGTGCTGATGAAACAATGATTCAAACTGAGCAGGTAATACCTTTAAGAAATGCAGTAGGAAAATATTGTCAAAGAATACCATGCTATTTAACACTAAATGCTGCAATGTAAGTGAAGGAGGTAAAAGTTAACCTGTCCTCTGTGGATGCATTTTAGTAGAAAACAGCAAGCTGATAAGCAACTATTTGTCGGTTGAAAATTTGTTGGAGATGTTAAGATTGTTGCTGCCATTGAACTACCAGGAGGAAAATCGATGCTGGAAAATCAGACAAGTGGTTTACTAATAGAAAATGCGAGTACAAGGCTATATCATATGACAAGGATTACAAATACATTGTAGAGCAACTCACCTGCTGGCAAGTTCTTATGCAGAAAAAGCGGTAATGCAAATCTATGGTTAAGAGTTGTTATGGATGATTTTGTAAATGGCAAAGAGCATATATATAAAGAAAGGATCAATGTAAAAAGAGTATACTGTTCATTGCTGTTAATGCTAAGTGCAAGTCTTCTCCTACCACAGTTGAATTAGTTGTAGAGGAAGGTAAGGACCAATGAATAGAAAAGACAATTCAATGTGAAACATTTAAGTGTGAGTTGTCAACCGACTGCATGTGATAAGGATGCATTTGTAATGCTCTAATGGCCTGAAGGCAAGATCATAATTCATTATGTAATGCTTTAATGGCCTGTAATGCTTTAATGGACCTGAATATATAAGTTTTATTTGTAAAAAATGTTGCCATTCGCAATAAATGCATGCGTACAAAGCTGGAGGCTGTAAATGCATAATAACAACTCTACTGGACAAAATATAAAGAAACGGAAAAGAATCTCAAATTATATAGATTATAAAGCTGCTAGTTCTGCAAAATATTAAGTAGGAGCTGTCAATTGATAGCATGGAAAGTAATGCATCTGCAATGCTTTAATGGTTTGAAGGGAAAATTATTATGCAACGTGTACTCAGCATGCTAAGTAGAGCAGATAGTCCAGCATATAAGTAACAGGAACTAAATATGTAGCCAGAGCAGATAGTCCAACATGTTCGAAATTGATAGCAGCAATTGTAATTTTAAAAAACTATAAACAAATGGAAAGGAAGCCCACATTGTATAGCTTATAAAGCTATCAGTTTTACACAAAGGGAGTTCATCGCCAGGAATCCAAAGATATCTGTGAAAATCCTTATGCTAACCAACATTGTAGGATTTCAGTTAATCTTTGAAAGCCTGGCAAGAACTCTGATACAGGTGCCATAATCAAAGTTCAATGGGCATGACAAAAAGAAGTTTAGTAGGTAACTACGCACAAAAGCCAGGGAATTGTGAATGGACGAGCAGTATTTGCAAAAAACGCTAACAATCTGTCTAAGCATAGGAGTGCAGATTACAGAACCACCCCAAAACATATTAATGCTCGAGCAATGCCAAACGCAGTGACAACAATTCAGCCTAATTTTGCTTTCTTCTTGGAATCAGCATGTGGACTATCAAACTCATTGGTGCTGACAGTTTCTGTTTCATCAAACTTTTGACTTAGGCGAAGACGCACTTTCGAGCTAGAACCACCATGTCCTATGAGTGCAACATTCAGTTAAGTTAATAGTTCATCGAAAGAAAACATAGGGATGCATCACTACTCCAAGTATATTCACGAACCTGCTGTCAATAGCTGCTCATTTTCAGCCTGCTGGTCACATGAAAGAGAGACAGATTCTGGTTCATGTGTTAGTTGAGCATGACTCATTTTTGGTTCAAGTTCAGAGCAATATAAAATCGTATACCGCTGTCTGGTATCAGCGAGCTGTGTTTGGACTGGTTTAATGTGAACCAGAAATGTCTTTGTTTTAAGCTGTTCGTGGACAAACTGAAGTGGCAGCTCAAGATTCTGGACGAAGCACAGACGATATAAGAGTCAGAAGGAAATACTGCACTTATTATTAAATCTGACCGATTAAAATAACCTGATTAAAGTGGTCCATTGCTTCAAGGCCAGTGAAGGTGAGAATTTTTTCTGCTAGATCTCCAAAGATAGAAGCAGGTATAACTCCACTGTCATCGATCAAATCAACGTCAAAGCGGCACCTAAAATATAAGTATACAAGTGCTTAGGCGATACACTGCATAACATTAACATTAAGAGGAATTAAGCAGCTAAATTAAAGCTAATGATGTAGTAATATAGGACCTAGGCATAGCAGCGCCCTTCTCTTTGCACGAATTACAAGTAAACTCCATTCCATAGTCTGCTGCAGTAGCTCGATAACATCTTGCACAGCTCATATACCAATATTTCTGGAAGATCTGTTCAAAAGAGAGTTTTGCCTTGACCCAAGCAGTCTAAAAAGAAAGACATTTATTAGATGGAAATCTGAATAGGTACGAAGCTGTAAAATAACATAACTGAATATCATCTGATCACCTTCTGTGATGCGGTAACATTGCAAATTAGAGTAGTTTTCTGGTCTCTCTTTAAAGAAAGCGCAGGATTGTATTTAATGTAACTTTTTGCATCAATGATTTCTGCAATTGACTTAGCATTTCTCATTGCCCTACAAGGAAAAAGATGATGTAAGTGAAATATGGGGAAGAACGATATAAGTGACACTGAGGTGCATAAAAAAAATGTTAGTTAATGCCATTGCACCAATTCTTGAGCTGTCTCGCTTCCTGTATCGGTGGATCAACAAGCAATGCAGAATCGAACCAGGTTGAGAGAGAAACACCTGCCGAATAAACAACAGAATGAACGCTGAGCTATGTCTGAGAACCTTGATATACAAATAAAGGTTATAATACAAAAAAAAAAAAGCATGTTAACAGACCATTGTAGTTGTTAACTTTCAGTCTTCGACCAATGATAACAGGATAGCTGTGCATGTTATTCAGCAGTATCTGACCTTCATTGTTCAGAAAATCATCCCATAAAGATAGCAGGACAGTTTGAGACCTAACGTTGGCATAAAAGGCAGGACAAAAAAGTTTCAAAGCTATAGGAAAAATGCGATAAGACCAGTAAAAGAGCGTGAACAATGATAAAAATACTGCGCACTCTTCATTTAGGAGGACAAATTTCTGAACATTTGACTGTCTGGAGTTTCTAGTGATTGTCTTCATGGCCAATGAACTGATCACCACTCCGAGGACATCTGCAAGGGGAAAGAAGACAGGCTGAGAAAAGAACGATTGTGTGACAAAAATATGAATGATAGACTGTTTACATACTCACCAACGGACTTGTTTTTATCATCCATGTAGTCAGATAAATCAGCAAAGTCAGTGAACGCAAATTTAACAGGCATAATGTCTTCATTGCCATCAACTTCTTCAATGACAGTTTTTGAAGTGATCACCCACTGTTTGATTAATCCAGCACTTTGAAACTTTTGCGGAATAGTCCTCACATCAGCATTTGAAATCTTATATCTTTTATAAACCTGCAACATAGGACTCATCCTTGGAATATCAGCATTGAAGATTATCCCTTCAACTTTAGAGCCCTATCAGAAAACAAAAAAAAAGTACACATAAGAATTATGATGGACAAACAAAGAAAGAGTTCAAATTATTCAGGTTTAAAAATGTAACCTCTGAATCATAGAAGACAAACTTTTGCTTTTTGGTTGGTGTTCCCAACGAATCTGTGACCTGTTGCTTTTCTTGGACCGTGATCACACAGGACCAGTTTTTCATATCAGGCACGATTTCTTCAATTTGCAAGAGGTTAGACATTCCTGTAAAAAAAGGAAAAATGATTATAATGTACAAGCTTGGGTATACACAAGACCTTTACCAATAAGTAAACACAGCATGGACCGGTACAAGTATACCTGGCTATAAGAAAGTTCTACTGCTGGCTCAATTCAAAAACTTCACCGAACACAACATTTCTAGTTTTGCAGTCCGTTTTTATACCATCAAAAGTTCCTGGTACAATAAGTATTTTCAGCTCAGCCGAAGTTCTAACTCTGGACAAGGCTACATATAACTGTCCATGAGAAAAGACAGGTTCTCTCAAGTAAATGCCAACGTAATCGAGAGTTTGTCCCTGAGATTTATTAATGGTCAGCGCAAAACAGAGTCGAACAGGAAACTGAGTTCTTATAAATGCAATAGAATTCTTCTGGCTGTCGGGAGTTTGTAAGGGTATCTTTGGAATGAGAACCCTCTTTCCTTTATGCTGGCCGAAGACAATTTCAGCGGAGATAGTATGCCGGCCAAGCTCTCTACATATAAGCCTTGTGCCGTTGCACAGGCCTTCAACAGGATTTAGATTCCTTATCAGTATAATCGGACAATTTTCTTTTAACATTAACCTGTGAGGAGGAAGGCCTTTTGGATTCTGAGAATTAAGAAAATCCTCATAATCCCCCTGGTGCCGCTGGTCAACAGTTTTGTCAGAGCTAATGAAAGTGTGCAGCTCTCCAGGGAACCTTTTAATTAGTATATCATTTAGCTCATCAACTGAGCTATTTTTAGGGGTAAGAATACACCTGTTAATCATCCTATATGGATCCAAGGAATAGAGAGCTAAATCTGGGAATACAGATTGTAGCAACCTGTTAATAAAGAAGTTTAATTAGAAGCTGTATATACTAAAGAGTAGATAGATAGACCAGAATTTTTTAAGTAATGTAACCTGTTTAAGGACTCTTCTTTATCGTAATAAGGAATAACTAAATCTTTAGGCAAAGTTATTTCACCGTTGAAGTCCACAAGTTCATGCCCTTCGCCAACTCTTAACAAGAATTCGGAGAACTGAGGATCTAATATAGCTCGCATGTTTTCCGTCAACTTCAGTTTATGAAGTTTATACCACAATGGAGAATTGAGAAAACACGACTGCAAAAGGATTTCCTTTGTTGCTTGCTCAATAACAGGCAGCGTCTGGCGAAAATCCCCACCAAACACAACAACCTTACCCCCAAAAGGCAGTTCAGATTCCATGATATCTCTAAGCAAATCATCAAATGCCTCAATAGTTTCTCGTTTTGCCATGGAAGCCTCATCCCACAAGATCAGTTTTGACTCCGAGAGCAGCCTTGCAACACTGCCTTGTTTGCTAAGCTGGCAGGTTCTGTTCTTTGAGAAGTCAAGAGGTATCTTGAACCTTGAGTGTGCAGTTCTTCCTCCAGGCAGGATAGACGCTGCAATTCCAGAGGTTGCTACTGCAATGGCTATATAACCTTGTGACCTCAAAGTAGCAAGCAGCGACCGGTATAAAAAGGTTTTGCCGGTACCACCAGGACCATCAATAAAAAATGAATGCCCTTGGGAAGCAAAGCACGTCTGTAAGATGGTGTCATAAGCATATTTTTGCTGGACATTTAGTTGCAAAGACATCAATAGATCTTCTGGCGGTATGTCTATGTTTTTCTCAGCTTCTATCTCCTTTGTCAAATGAACATGATCCACACTAACAAGGTCATCTAATGGCAACTGATAGGCAGCAATGGATGTACCCATCTGCTGAAGTGATTTGTTAATATCAGCTAGAACCAATCCCCTAATCTGAGCGGGAGAGTAGGCATGATATTGTTTTTGCCGTTCATAATCTCTAGTAAAGTCCAATTCAAATTTTCTCCATAACATCGCTGGATCAGTTGGAGAACAATAGACAAGAAGAGTTGCAAATAATAATCTGAGTGAAGACGGCATTTGAAATGTAGCAGCTTTCTCAAGCGTTTCTTCTATGTACGTATCAGATTGCAGCAACCCAAGTGCCAGAGCAGCCTCTCTAAACGACTTCATTTTTTTAGCATTAACAGTCAAGAGATCATCGAATGATATCGGTGCTGGAATATGATTTAAGAGCAGCCTCAGATAGTACCGTTCTCCCTCTCGTGGACTAACACTGACGAGTCTACCTATCACCTTTCGACGCTTCCTTTCTGTCCAGTGTCTATACTTAGAAGACCAAACGAAATGCTGAGGAAAATCTTTATAAAAGCATTTAAGGTTCTCAGCAGCTGCGTTGGTCGCATTCATTTTGAAGAACTCAGTCAGCATGGTTTTAGAAAAATCTACTTTAGCTAACAATTGCAGCAAGTCCGAGTTCTTCGGGAAAGAAACAAACTGTTGATTTGGAAGATGAACCTGGAGAGTATAAACAGATGGGGTCATCTCGTTTAAACGGAACTCATAGATGCGCCAAAATGCTTCCGGAGGCGAGATGTATCGACCCTTTTGGAATTCTTTAATCTCATCAATATCAGTAGCACTATCATCTGCCATAATTCTAAAGCAAACCAGATCATGCCCCTTGAACACATATTTATACAAGTACTTGACCAATTTAATGGTAGAACAAATCTCCACGTTCATGTGACAATCGAATAAAGCAAGGAGATAGGGACTGTAAGGCACAACCCACCTATTATCAAGAGTGAATCTGCGAACTTTCACTTTCCTGCCATCATCCCTTCTTCTATAATATGGATAGCTATCTTCACCATGGGTTGTATGAGGGCAGAAATTTTTTGGATAATGACTCTTGCAAGAACCATCTTTCATACAAGGGCAACTTTTATCCATATCGCCACAGGGACCGTGGAGCATATGTTTTACAACAAGAGAGTAGAGGTGAGGATATTGAAGCGGATCAGGTAATTCAGCGCAGACTACCTTGTCATAAGATTCCGGATTGAGCAGCTTAAATTGAGGCTTTAAAATGAGTAACAAATGAGCGTGTGGAAATCCCCGCTTTTGAAATTCAATGACATACACGCAGGCTGCTACTTCACCAAAAATCTGTTTATTCAAGAGCTCATGCTTAAGCATATCGAATTTAGCTCTAAAAACTCTAGCTAAAAGATCAGGCCTATCTTGAGGCTTTTCATGATACTTCAGGTTGCACTGAATTTCTTTCCATGCCGGATTGCAGGTCATGGTAAGAAAAATGTCTGGTTTTCCGTACTTTTGTACGAGTGCCATTGCATCAAGATAGCGGCGCCTCATGTCCCTAGGACCACCAATAAACGAAGCAGGTAGCACTATCCTACGTCCAACTTTAGAACCTTCAGCCTGGCCTAGAGAGACACTGTCCAATACCCCTTGAAGAATTTCTGATCTAACTACATTTTGTCGGTGCCTATGAAAGTCCAGCCTAGAAGTTTCTATCTTCACATAGGAATCAACCGAAAATTGTTGTAGAAGTCTGAGACAGTGCAGTAACATCGACTCATCGTTTTCCCTTATTTGAAACCTATAACAATAATACTCTCTTGCCGATACAGTGTCCTCTTCACTCTTTCCATGGTCAACGGCTATAAAGAACAAATAAAAAGGTCAAACTAATGTCGATACAGCTTATGATGCTTGTTTCTAATAGTCAAAGACAGCAAGAAAAACACTTGCCTCTACGTTCCAAATCTAGTAAAAGTGAAGGGTCATCAACAGTGGAAGGATCAACGCTGAAATCAGCTTCACAGGAATCTGCATTTCTCTTCCTCTTGTGAAGTTTCTTAACACCATGGTGCCATCCACATTCACCTTGAGGGAAGAGAATAGGGTATTGTAAAGGATCATAACAGCCATAGTAATGCTTAATTCTATGGCTGGTATTAGAGTGAGTATAAACTTGAATATGGACATTCCTATCCGCTGATTCATCGTCATCCTCAGTCCATATGGCAGCAACTTGAGAGGCTGTAGGTAGGTTATAGACGCGCTGGTCCAAACCAGGATAGCAATTCAAAACAATCCTATAGTTGTCAATGTTCGGGACATTTCTGAGATTCTTAAAGAATTTGGCATAAGGATTGTTGGACAGGATACGCATAAGTAATTTTAAAACGCCTCCACGCAACTTATCAGAACTTCCAACTCTTTTTGCTAATTCTTCATCAGAATCAAAAAAGTAAAACTGAATTCCAGAAGGTTTTTCGCTTGACTGTAGTAAACCATTAAGAAAATGGTAGACCTGACCTTGAACACGGAAAGTGTAAACACCTTTTGTGTTCTTGGTCAGCTCTGGATCATATCTTGCAGCGAAGGATGTGAAGCCCAAGTTGTTATTATAGGTCCTAACATTATTCCTAAAATGAGCGCTTTCCTCATCATTTTCGATAAATAGGCGTTTAAGATCATAAGGCATAGATGGAGCCACAATAGAAATCTCTCCTCCAGAGCAGCAAAAGTTAGGAGGTTCTAAATGGAACCTCTTGGCTCCACAGTGCTCACAATCAGGAGCGTCTGGAAGAGTCAAAGCTTCTTGTGGGATTTCAGTGATTGGAAAAATGCGTTGCTGCCTCCCCCTTTTAGGTGCAGCTGCATTTATTTTAAAACTATGGGTGAGAAGCGGACTAAGTTGTGCCTCTATTAGGCTATATAGTAATGGCATCTAAATAGTTATTGAGAAATAAAATGTTAACCCGGAGTCTGCTTCCTCACACGACGACGAGAAGAAGGTGCTCGAGTAAAAGGCCGTGTTTTAGATGAGAAGGCAGAAAAGTGTGCATTTTCTGTTGCAGTCACGGCTGAATCATTTTTTTCAATAGGATCGGTAGGGCGGCTGACCTGAATAGAGGTGGTTTCTGCAATCGTATAAAGAAATAAGCTAACCAAAATAGGATAGTGTCATTCCAATGAACATAATTAGGATGTGGTAGGAAGGAAAGAATAGTCAGTAAGACTGCATTGGAAATAACTGCTGGCTAAAAAATATACCTCCAGATGTAGAAGCTGGATCGAAAGCTGGGTTCTCAGAGGATGATACAATTTTTTCAAAATGAAGTTTTTGCTGCTCATAAGCAGAAGAAAACCGTGGATGACCAGATTGTATATAAACTTTGGCCAAAGGAGAATAGTTAATAACGTTTTCAAAAAGATGAGAAGAACCGGTGGTCCTGTCAATGGACATCACAGGAACAGAGCAAGCAGATCTAAGCATAAAAGTTTGCTTCTCAACAGATGCATTTTTTTGCTGTAGAAATGGATCCGCATGAACAGTAGCTCTGAGGGGATAAAATTTTTCAGACTTCACAGAAACATGGTCAGAAGAGCAGTATTCTATTGAATTTTCAAAAAGACCGTTCATAAGCAAATCCTCTTTGGCAGAGTTAACATCTTGGATAACGCTTCGAGAACGAGCAAAGCAATTGCTTGGTCGTTCATGTAACGCCACAGGCACAGAGTTACTAATTTTCCTCCTAGGCAGGCAGAAATCAGATTCAACAGAAGGAGAAGAAAGGGTCAAATTTTTTCTTTTTTCTGGAAGGAATTTTCCTTTGCAGTTCGTAAGATCAGCCTTAGCAGCAAGCGGAGACTCTGCAGATTGCAAACGAAGATGCACCCATTTACAAAGAATTGATATGCTAATACAGGAACCAGTAGGTAGGGTAGTGAAGGTGATTTAAAAAAACACCCACTGAATAAGAAGGAAGAAGGGCATCATCAACTATACCTGCAAGAACACTTGCATTCGGCATGTCGTTTGCTATCTGAGTAGTAGAAGCAAAATGAACACGCGGAACAAAAGAAGCAGACTCACGAGAAGACATATATTGCAATGCCTCAGTAACAACACTGTTATGATCGGTCTTTAACGCTTCGGTTCCTAAGATTTCACTATGCATAGAAGGGTCATTCGCACCATCGAATTTTTCAGGATGCGAATCAGGGAAACAAACACCTGATTCTATATAACCCAGAGGAACCTTGCGAATACGTGGCAGTAAACGTGCATCTTTTTTCTTGGCAGATCTGTTCTCTCTTCGTCGTTGCAGAAGTTGTTTTTTTTTCAGTGGTGGCATTTCTGCATACTTTTTGCGGCGAGCGGCATTTCTATCCATTCGAGTTTCACTAAGAGTTCTAAAAATGCCAAAGGGCTATGTAAAGAAAGGAATACCTAACTTAGTGAAAAAAACGTAAACAAAAAATGACAGAAAACAGAGCGAGTTAAAAAAAAAAAGCAGAGAGGTATAGGAGTAAATAGTCAACAACTGAGTAAACAACAAAAATGTAACAAGAACCAAAAAGTTAGGCAGGTAATTATAGTGCAGGAAATAGGATTTTTGTCACCACCAATGGAACAGCACCAGGAAAATAGAATAGCATGGACATAAAATGGATAGAGGTCACAAAAGGTTAAAAAAAGTCAGGTAAAGGATAAAAAAAGGTAAGATTAGAGCAACATGCAGCTAATGATGCATCAAAAAATGCATGGCAAAAAGGCACAAATTAAAGGATAAAATGCAGAGGAAAGAGTTAAAAAAATGAGAACAAAATGAGAATAACTAACCTGCTTGTATAAAGAGGTCCAACACCGCAGAAGCAAATAACAGTAGAAGCTATCAAAGAAACCACGAGCAAGTAAGAGGCAACAAGAAAAGGTGGGGGAAAAAAGAGCGGCAAAAAAAAGAGCTGATTTGGCTATAAAAATTTAGCAGAGACAGGGGAAAAGTAAAAATGGTCGATCCAGCACACAACAAAGTAGAGAAGCAAGGAAGAGATTTAAAACAAAGCAGCATGACAGCAATGCTTAAATATTTGAACAAGTAGAGGAAAGAACAAAAGAAATGAAACTATAAAAATCAACATGCTCACCAAGAAGCAGTGACAACAACACCAGTGCAAATTAAAACCAAGGCAATATATCGGGAAAATAAAGTTTAAAAGAGCCAAAGAAAACGAAGTATACTGCTTATGAGGTAGCTCTTTCTTCCAAGCAAAGAAGCAAGAGCAATAGAATAGGGAAAAGAAAACAGTACATGCACAATTACAACTGTTCATGAGTCAATAGTCCAACAACCGAGGAAACAACACATATTTAACAAGAACAAAAAAGCCAGACAGGTAATTATAGTGCAAGGAATAAGTATTTTGTCGGTGGCAACGTAACAGCATTACTAAATAAAATAACATGTATATAGAACGTATAAGCTAGCTAACGATGCATTAGAAATTGCACATCGAAATGGTACAAATTAAAAGATAAAATACAGATAAAAGAGGAAAACAAGAAGAGAACAAAATAAGAGTAACTAACCTGCTTGTACAAAGAGGCCCAATCCCACAGAAACGAATAACAGCAGAAGCTATCAAAGAAACAACAAGCAAGTAAAAGACAGTAAGGCAAGGTGGGAAAAAACGAGCAGTAAAAAAAGAGGAGCTGATTCGGTGATGAAAATTTAGTAGGGGCAGTATGACAACAATGGCAAAGTGTTTGAACAATTAGGGGAAAAACAAAAGAAAGCAAGCGGTAGAAAATCAGCATGCTCACCAAGAAACAGTAACAACAACACAGCGCAAATCGGAACCAAGACAAAAAATAAATGAGGAAAAGGAAGGTTCAAAATATTACCAGGAAACGGAGAACAGTGTTTATGAGATAGTTTTTTCTCTCTAGCAAAGAAACAAGAGCAATAGAAAAGGCAAAAGAAAGGAGTAGATGCACAATTACCACTGTTCATGATGGTAGGCAGCAGAAGATCCGATGGGGAAAAGCGGAGAAACGCTATAACCATTGTACAAATGCGAAACTGAAAGCAACGTCAACCGCCGGGAACAACAGAGCTGATGGGCGACAACGAGAAGAGGCGACCGCAGCTTGTAGATTTACAGACATGACCCCAGGCAAACGACAAAAAAGACTACGAGGCTCTTATGAGGAAGCGTAAATGGAGGCAGAAAGGATGGGCAATATAATAAAAACCAGTCAGGTATTGTTCAGCTCAGGTACAATTAGCTGTCAACAAAAGGAGGCTGGAGGCTAATGACGGGAAATGTGAGCGGCGGATGAAGAAATCGAGAAAGGATGTAGCTAAACTAAACAAACAAAATTTGTCCGTTGCAAAGACCTGGTAATTAAGGATGTTAGTTTGTAATTAGCCGCCAAAAGCAAGGAAGACAAGAGTAATGAAAAGCGCTCTTCTCAAGACAGAGCAACGTAGACATATTAATTAACTAACAATGAATAACAAAGTAACTAATTGAGTAACAATATTAATTAATCAGTTAGCAATCAATTGTAAAAAAGGGCAGGCAATATGACCCGATCTGCAAACCCCAAAAAAGAAGCTAAATTGTGGCTAACAACAACTCAGGGGTGGTAGTTAAATGCGACTTGTTGGGTAAAAAGTTGCAGACCCAATTTAAAAAAAACAATTTTTAAAAGTTGATAATTAGACTTGATTTGTTGGGCAACACAAGATAAAGGAGAACATTATCTTAATAAAATCTGGAAAAACAGAGGTAACTAAATCCGATTCGGGGAACAGCCAAGAAGAATGTAGTTTGTTAATAATTGCGAAAAAGCTATGAACAAAATGCGATCTGTTGGGTAAAAGAAATAACAACTTGAAACGACATCATTTAATTAGTTATTATCAATGAATCACAAAGAACTGGCAATTAAACATGATTGATTAGGTAAAAAAAGGAATCCAAATAAAGTAGATGAATAAATAGTTATAACAATTAGAAGCGGAGAATCGATAATTATTTATGTAGAATCAATACCAAATAAAGCTATAACTGCAAAAAAATTATGAACAAAATGTGTTTTTTTGGGGAAAAAAAATATTTCAAATGACATCATTTAATTAGTTATTAACAATGAATCACAAAGAATTGGTAATTAAATGCGATTGATTGGGTCAAAAAAAGGGATCCAAATGAAATAGATGAAACCCTGTTATAACAATTAATAGCGGAGAATCGATAATTAAATGCAGTGCATGGCCTGAACAAACGATAAATGACACCAGCGGAAGCGCACAACGTTGCTGATTGTTTACGTAGAATAAATACTAAATAAAATAATGGGAATTTGATAATAATATGTGAATGCTTTCCCCTCTTGAATTTGATAATACGTGTTAATAATTAACGCATGCCAACTACAAGAATTTGATAATTATTTGTGATTTATTTAGGAAAAGCTACAAAAATGGCTGGGCAAAATGGCTGGGCAAGCCAAAAATAATAGTTATTAACAATGAATCACAAAGAATTGGTAATTAAATGCGATTGATTGGGTCAAAAAAAGGGATCCAAATGAAATAGATGAAAGCCTGTTATAACAATTAATAGCGGAGAATCGATAATTAAATGCAGTGCATGGCCTGAACAAACGATAAATGACACCAGCGGAAGCGCACTACGTTGCTGATTGTTTACGTAGAATAAATACTAAATAAAATAATGGGAATTTGATAATAATATGTGAATGCTTTCCCCTCTTGAATTTGATAATACGTGTTAATAATTAGCGCATGCCAACTACAAGAATTTGATAATTATTTGTGATTTATTTAGGAAAAACTACAAAAAAGGCTGGGCAAAATGGCTGGGCAAGCCAAAAATAATATGTGAATGCTTTCCCCTCTTGAATTTGATAATACGTGTTAATAATTAGCACATGCCAACTACAAGAACTTGATAATTATTTGTGATTTATTTAGGAAAAAGAAACAAAGCAAAGCCAACCAAAGGCAGGTGGGACCAGAATTGAGCTGCACACTTCCAAGCCAGACGTCCAAGCAAGCAACAAAGAAAAGAACCAATCGACGGACAACCAATTCACGCGAGCGAATTCACACGTAGCGGACGACCACCAATTCGACCAATGGAAGGATGCCACGTCAGCAATCACAACCCAATTGAAAAGCTCCCCATTCCCGCATAGACTATATATGTTAATTAGAGACGCATAGATTTGGAGTTTCTAACGTATTTCCTTTTGTATTTATCATTATTGATTGGGGGGGTTTCTATATGATATCGTCTTTTAACTTCATCAGAAGTTCTTTTCATGGATTCAATAACTTAATAGGTCATGAATTACGTAAATCATCAGATAATTAAATTATGTCATCTTTCATCAGTAAGTAATCTTGCTATACCATTGCTCATTATCCATCACAAAGACACAAAAAAAAGTTATTTTTTCCCTTAATTTAATCCTATCAACTGATTAAATAAATGAACAAGAACGTCAACCTAACTCTTCTTCTCCAATGTCAACCCTACTATATAACTAATTACTAGAAAGTTATTTCCAAACCCTAAAATAACTACAAGCAAAGCATGCGACATTCATCACAATCAATGTAAAAATTAAAAATGGTAGAAACAACACAATTACCATAACTCAAAATATTGATATTAAAAAAAAAAAGAAAGACTTAGCTCCTACATGATCATGGTACATTCATATATGAAATGAATAAATAGTTATAAAAACAGAAATTTTAAAAAACAAGAAATGTACAACATGTAATTCAAAATATCGACAAAATTGGAATACAATGGTACCCCTACATGCATCATGAATAATATGAAAAGAATACAATAGTAATTATTAGTACTAATTATCATACATACCTCTTAATTTCTTTGTGGATAGAAACTTATAATCAATGTTGGCCCAAGGTTCCGTTTGACAAAACTGAATCTGAATTCTGAAATCTGAATACTGAAACAATTAATTTGCTGAATTTTAAGTACTGAAAAGAAATATATGAATGTTTGAATTTTAATGCTAAACTTATTTATACTGTTTGATAAATATTTATAACTGAATGCTTAATAAGTTTAATTTGACAATTTAGCCCTTATATCTTTTCATTCAAAAAAGAAATAGAACTTATGATTTAATTAACTTAAAATTATTAGGTATGAAAATGACAATATTTATTTTTAAATCAAATTAATATAAAAGATGAAATATATTATATGAGGAGTATGGAAAAGATGTGAAAGTCATTAAAAAGGAAGAAAATTGAAACTAAAAACCGTTAAATAGAGAATATCAAATTGTTTAATTGGATAAGAATTTTGAACATAATTAACAAACAAGGGTAGATTTGGTAGATAAGATAAAGTAGTTGAAGTAATTCTATTGATTCTTATCAGAATTAAGCATTCAGTTAGGATTTTTGTGCTGAAAAAAATACACACAAGTTCAGCACTGTTTAACAAATTCAGTAGATGGATTTTCATTTACCAAACACTCAAAATATCTGAATATCTGAGAAGATTCAGTTTCAACACTTTTGTATGTTATCAAACAGATCCCACAAGTCTTTTAAGAAGTGAAACTAGTTTAAGGAAAAAAGATTTTGCCAATTTGCCAATATACAAAAACAGGAGACTCAATCAATAATAAATGAGAGTGGTGCAAATAAATGAGCAGAGTGAGCAAAACCAAACTACTTCCTACCTGGCAACTTCATGCATTTCCCCTTTATCCATCTTGGCTTTTACTCACCAAACTCAAAAGAGACAAAATGATGAAGAAGGCAAAAAAACCCAAAACCCGGAGGAGAAAGGCCAAAAGGACAAAGGGAAGAAGGGCAAAACAAACATTTGAGCAAAATCAATTTCGAAAAAATCACACCCAAACTCTGCATAAATACAAATGCATATTAACACTGGGCAAAAACCCAGGCGTCTTCTTCCCTCCTTCCCTTGCCAGCTGACGACCCAAAGGCAGTTACACTTTGCCTACATTTTCCTCATTGCCCAATTTCTCCCTCCCCCACTACTCACTTGTTCTTCTCCTACTAGGGTTCTCACGTTTCCCACCACCGCTTCTTTCCTTCTGGTTCTTTCTTCCTAGTTGTTACCGTCAATGGCTTTGGTTGGGAATTTTTTTTCCTTTTTTTTATCTTGGTGAGAAGGAGAAAGAATGGCTGCGCCGGGGGCGTCCTCAGTGGCTGCGATGGTGACGGACAAGGGGAAGAAAGTGGAGACGGAGACCGATGCAGCGAGAGGAGTGGAAGCGTACATTGGAAGTCTAATCAGCTTGATTACAAAGTCGGATATTCGATATGAAGGATTCTTGTTTCATCTCAGCCCGCAGGAGTCCATCATAGGCTTGAGAAATGGTTTCTAATTCCTTTCTTTTCCTTTTTTTTTTTTGGTTTTCTTTCTTCGTTTTTTAATTTTCTCTGTTTATAATGTGTATTGCCATTGAATTGTACTTGTTTATCTTTGTGTATAGTCTTGCATGCAACAGTTCACACATACACACACGCACTCACACGCTTGAAGTTCTTGATTTTTCTTTTCTTTTTTTTCAATTTCATGTGATTTGCTTGTTGTTTTATTGATTGATGTACTGGTGAGTCTGTGATCATGCAAAAAAGTTTTTTTTTTTTTTTTTGTATATTAAAAAATTCAGATACTCAGTTGAACACACATGTAAAACTTTTTAAATCTTGCGTAATTTAATCGTTTCGACATACGAATTTGTGTTTCTATATGTATGCATGTGCTAATTTTTACATGCAAAATTCACACATACTCCTACATACCCTTATACACATTGCCACTGACAGTTCTTCTTTTCTTTTTTCCTTGAAATTTGTATTTTTTAATTTTTTTTTTGTTGGTTTTTCCCCTCATTTTTCGTTTGATTAATCATCATGGAAGAACTACTTATGTTGAATATGTCTGTACTCGTATATAGTATTTTTTCTTCAGCATAAAGTCTGTGCTTTGATACCCAAGAAATAAATAATTTTGCAAGCCTATGCAACTGCAAAATGTATCAAACACCAACTAAAGTACGGACAGAAAGCATGGTTGTATCTGACAATTTGATTCTATGATTTCTATACTTTTTCTTCAACATAAAGTCGCAAATTTTTTTTAAAACAAATCATAGAATCAAATTGTAAGATACAGCTATGCTTTCTGTCCGTACTTTAGTTGGTGTTTTATACATTTTGCAGTTGCATAGGCTTGCAAAATTATTTATTTCTTGGGTATCATTGGTTTGCTTACATTATGGTTTAATATATTAAATGAATTTAACATTTTGATGCTGTACAATAATTGATTAAAAAACTGTTTTTGCTTAGATTATGTTTTAATTTGTTAGATGTATGTGCATTTTCATACAGTACATTGATTGTTTGACATATGTTTTTTTTATAATCAAGTATAGGAGTTGTACGGGAATTAGTAATTCAAAAATATGTAAAATTTCTTGAATAAGTGACTGTATGTGGATTTTCAGTTACTGTATTGAATGTTGTGGAAAAGCACGTGTATCTCTCTGACCATACAGAAAAGATATTGTATGTGTGTGGTTTTCATAGATCTACTAGAAAGTACACTGTAAGTTGTTTAGGGCAGGATTATGCATTTTATGTCATTAGGAAATCATGAAGATACAAGGGGATTATTCCAATTCAAAGAAGAAAAAAATTTAAAAGACATCGCCAGGGTGTTTGTGGGGGGAGGACAAAAGAATGTCATCGATTTCAGTGAGTTCCTTAAGGGTGGAAGAAAATGATTGAGAGGAGAGATATGAAGGCCTAACTCAGGGGAACGAAGAAGAAGAAATATGAAATGGGAGGATGAGGTCAAGGCAAGCTCTCATGAAATGCATGCATATTTGTATATTGATCAATGCAGACAGAAAATTTTCCACAACCCTTTGGATGTTTTACGTAGCATGCATGGATACTACCGCGAAATGCATGTCGGAAGCCAGTCTCATTTTTCTGGTTTAAGACTTCTTTGAGTGGATGCATTACTTTAACTACTCATATTTCTTTTCTTGCTTCCTAAACTTTGATGCGATTTTTCAGCACATCATTCCAATGCATTTATCGTTTTGAACTGAACAATCTGCTGATAGATATGTTGCTGCTTAACTTGTTAAGCATATGGATCTTCATATCAGTGGTTCAACTACTTTCCCTTACATATATCCTTCAGAATATCCAGTCTCATGACTCTTTCCTACCAAATACAGTTGTTTCAGGAAACACATTTAAAGATTGGATTGTATGCTCTTGACAAGTAGAGAAGGATCTAGATGTGTGATATAATGTCTCAGACTCATTTGGTTACTTTATAAGAGTCTTCTGTGTTTATGATATGATTCTGTTTCCATCTGTGACACAGTTTATAAGATTGATCTAGTTGATGTCCTTTCCCATTATTACTTGATCTCATGAACTTCAGTTTCCGTTTATACTGATTTTTCTTTATTTATTGGCAGTAAAATCTTCTGGAACGGAAAGACAAAAGATGGATGGTACCCAGGTTGCACCCAGTGACAGACTTTATGAATACATATACTTCCGAGGGACCGACATTAAGGTAAAATTTATTTTGACTGGATCTTTCACACACTACATTTCCTATTTCAATACCTAATGGATTTAAGCAGTTGTCTAGGACAAATATTCGATGTTTTGTGAGTTGTCTTGAAGTTTTCTGTTTAGAATTTGAATAAGATGCTGTGAAGATGTTAACAAATTTCAGTTCCTTTTCTCGGAATCATGAAACGTCATTCACACTGGTAACAATCTTAGTTTTGCTTTGGCTATGCTGTTGGATAACGGTAAGGCAGTTCCAAGTGCCGCATAATCACTAATTAAGTTCATATGACTGACCTTAGTGCCCTTTATCAACTACACCCAAGAATGAAAGGTTTGGACGATTGGAAGAGTCGCTACTTGTTGGAATTTTTCCTTGCTTTTTGTCCAGGAGAGCCAATTAAAGGGGAAGAGTCAAGAGACCTCACCTGAAATTCTTCCTGTTAGATTCATTTGGACCTGAGAGTTTAGTGCCTGTACATTTTAACACTCAAGACTTCTGTGCTTAGAATTAAAGAACAATGCAAAAATAAACACACTATCTCCAATTTGGCATTCTCTTGTTCCCCTTGCTTTATCTCGGTGTAGGTCCAAGAAGCTTCGTGCACTGGGCTTAAAGAAAGAAAATCCACCTCACATGTTTGACTGGTATAAGACTTCACGACATGTTTAAAAATTACAGGAATCAAGGGTGGTCAATAATGTGTGAGTAAAGATTTGAATCTGGATTTTTAGTCGAGCTGGTGAATTTGTTCACTCCTAAAGAGTTATTTTGGTCTTCCCTCTGGTTTTTGGATGGAGAACTTATTCTTTTTCCCAGGGGCTTTCATTTCTGAGATTTTCTGTTGATAAGTAAGCACAGTTTATCTGAAGTAATATCTGTATCATTGGATTTCCATATATTCCTTTTTTTTCCCTCACACTAGAGTTCATTTAGTTCACTTTCATGATAAAATATGCAATTGCAGGCACCAACATTTAGTATGCCCAAAAAAAAAAAGTTTTAGTATGCCCATTTTCCTCTTAGTTGCATTAGCGTTAAAGTTTAGTTACATTGATCAAAGGAAAGGTTGTCTTCAGGTAAATTGGAAGTCGAGGACTGAGTACATGCATATGATCTCTCTGCTCATTAGGAGAAAGCTTTTTACATGCAACATTTCATCATGAAATTCACAAGCCTGTTTGGTGCTGATATTCTTTCTATCTGCTACAATGCTTTTTATTGTAACTATTGTTGCTTCACCTTGCAGGATCTTCAGGTTATCTCTTTTCCACCTGTTCAGAGTACACCAACTTTACCTGATGATCCTGCCATTATACAGGTATGTCTGTTCAGGATGATTGGACTAATATTTTTGATGCATCTTGCAAATGAATCTTAACTGTAACTTAAATTTGTGGTGCAGCCACATCATTCTCACCCACCATCTACAAATATCAGTTTGGCTTCTTCAAGTGCCTTGGTAGGTTCAAATCCTAGTTCCAATTCTCATTTGGGAGTTAATGTTCTGCCACTTGAAGGAAATACAGCTCCCCGTCGATCCATGGAGTTATCTGACTCTTGGGCTTCATTAATTCCTCTTCCACCAGTAAACATAAATGGGCCTACCATGCAAAGTTATTGGCCTGGATTTACTGGGTTGCCTGGGGAAAAATCTCATCTTCAGCAGATAACTTATCCGCCGCAACCCCAAGGTTTATTGTTACCAAATTCAATTCAGCAGCAATTGCCACATCCGAGTGTGAACGCATCCTTCCCCGGGAATGCATTAAATTTCATTGAACTTCCGCAGAACTTGTTGCCACCTGCTTGTTTTGGTTCTGTGAATTTAATATCTACATCGCCACTGCCTTCAACTGTGCAATATAGCCATATACCTCTTTCTACATTGTTTTCCAATCTATCCTCCACACCAATGTCAAGTAACATTTCCAATGCCCTTCCTACAGATCAACCCCTTTCGATGGAAGTGGTTGATTCTGGCTCTGAAAAAGAGCCTTCGTTGGTAATCGCTTCCAATGTGAACTCTGCTGTACCTCCATGTAACAACCAAGCTCAGTCCTTGCTTGGCCCTGCTCCATTTCCATTGATATCCAAATTCACATCAAGTTTTGTGGGTTCATCCACCACTCCTCATGTGAGGGGATCAAATGTATCTCCTGCAATCCCAGGTTCATTTTGGGAGCGAAGGCCAGTAAATGCATCGTCTCCTCACAATTGTACAGATGGGAACAGTAATTTAGGATCACCATCCAACCATCAGCCATCAGATTCGCAGAATATTGAAGAACTAGCAACAGAACTGCCAAAATCACCAGCTCGAAAGGTATGCACTTCTCTCCTCATTTTTGGTGCTAAAGGTGTTATTGGCCATGATCAGAAATGGAGATAATAAAGATGCTAGCATGAATTCACATTAGTTATTAGGAGTTAACTTAATTTTCCTTTATAGGCATGCACATTTCTCTTCATTTTCCGTGCTATAGGTGTTATTGTCCAATGATCAGAATTTGAGAAAATAACGATGTTAGCTTGAATTCGCATTAGTTATCAGCAGTTAGTATAATCTTCTCACGTAGGGCAAGCAACATGCCCATGCAGTTAGTATGGCCAAAGCAGTTGCTGCAGTTCATGACCATCATGTTGAGCTTGTATCAGGAAAATTGCAGTTTATGTTGTAATGATGGTATTTCAGACTTGATGACTGAGAGAAATTTTGTCAAGTTAAATTATAAATCAAATGTACCCAATTCACTTTGTCATGTCTCTAATCAATAGCTTGTCAAATTTCTCATTCAACAGTCAACAAGACATGAATTTGATTTTCCTTGTGATAAAAAGTAGCAATAACATGAGTTGCTTGAGTACTGTGCATGAAAATTTTCTCTTCATTGTTTCTTTAGTTGATTTCTTCATTTCATTGTCGGGAGATATCAAACTTTTTTCTGATTGTGATTTTAACTGTAGCTGTATGATCCTGCATCATCATCTCACCATGGTAGCCAGCACCATGGACAGGTTCGAGGACGGGGTCGAGGAGATTTGGTTCATTTTATGCCTTTCTTGATTGATTTTCCTTTTCATAGAGAATGTCGTATACTACAATTGGAAGGATTTTCTTACATTTCTTTTTGTGCATTTTCTCTTGTGCAGATTTATGGAGATATGCATCTCCGGTACCAGAGTAATAGAGATCGTATGCTTGGAAGGGGTCGAGGAAATTTGGTAAATTCATATGTCTTTCTCTTACTGCATTTATGCACACTTCCCAAACTTAACTGAAAACATCAATATACAAGTCAAAGGAAGGCAGGCAGTTCATAGATAGATATCTAGGGTCAGAGAAGAGAAAGAAAATGACTTCATGCTGTTGATTGGTTATATTGAACCTTGTTAATTATCATATCCAAAAATTTTTTTTCTGGGGGAATGTAATGCATTTTTCCACTGATTTCTTTCATTAAAAAATATGTGATATTGATAACGTCTTTTGTGCTTCTACAATTTGGTTAGCCAAATAGAGCTTTTTCACACAATTATCAGACCTGTAGAGGTCATCCAGTTGGAAGAGGAAATCCGGTAAATACCATGTCCTTCTAATTTTCCCTAATTTCCTGTTAAGCATTGGAAATCATGAACTTCAGTATTTTGCTCATACTCTACGTATCATAATCAAATGTTTTTTGGATGTCTAATCTTCCAGCTGATTGGCACTGCTTCATACCGTCACCAGGCTCCTAGAGGCCAGGGAAGAGCGAATGCGGTAATTTTGTGTTGCATTTTATTTTCATTCCTTCTCACATACATACATACATATATATATATAATCAGAGTCTGCTTAATTGTTATTTTTCTCTTTTTACGTTAGTTTCTGTCTCCTCTTATGTTCTTGTACTCATGTCTAGCTAACTTTGTTTTTTCTGATTTATCCATGCTCGTACTGTTTAATTTTATGTTTTTGGCCAGCCAAATGCTGCTGGACCATATTATCGCCGCCATGGTGGGAGTCCTGCATGGGGAAGCAGTGAGGTAGGAGTACTTTACAATTCAAATTTAGATTCCAGAATCCGTTCAAGTTACCTCATTGCTGACTTATGTCATTCTTTGTTTTTGTTCTGTAGGCTGACGCCAACTTTACTGAGGATTTTGACTTTGAGGCAATGAATGCCAAATTTAATAAAAAGGAGATCTGGGGTCTTCTTGATAAAGCCAAGCAAGGTGGATCAGAAGATAACAAAGAAGATGAAATAGGGCGTAAAGGAAAAGAAGCAGTAGATGAATCTAGAAATGGACTGCCGAAGCTAGACAATAAGGTGGGCCAATTGTCTGCCTAATTAGAAAAAGTTTTACACTCGTTGCTTATTCTCCATAACTTCTGTTTCCTGAAGTCTTTCACCAGCTAGACTGTCACTTCCTTTTCCAGAGCGCTTACTGTAAGGATGACTTCTTTGATTCACTTTCATGCCCTACCCTGGATGGTGAGTCTTACAGAGGGAAGGTTTCAGAGCTTAGAAAGACAGATGACGAGGTAATGCATGTTTCAGATAGAAGTAGTCTTCTGGTATCTGTTTATGGTCAATTACTGAATTATACATGCATTTGAATCTTTCAGAAAATTGGCGAGATTCTGCAACATCGAAGGGATCATGGCATTCAGGGGCCATATAGGGGAGGGAATTCACAGGGTTCCTACCGTGGTAGGGGGTATTACAATGCAGGAAGAGGCCGTGTGAAAGCAGCTTGGAGCCGTGCAACTTAAATAAGCTAGCTTGCTCTGTTTGTGGGTTGTAGAAGCAGCATGCCCTTAGTATTTTGTGTTGTATTGAAACTCATCAAATTTGTACAGTGATGTTTGTATTGTCATGAATGTTAGCAAGGGCAGGTTTTGCTCTTAGGTAGCTGGGTCAGAACCATGCCCAAAACTTTGTTGTGAACAATATGTATGATAACTAAAGGGCAGGTAAGACTCAGGAACAATAAAACAGAACTGCCTGTTGTTATTTAGACCTATAGGAACAAATGAAAGGGCTGCTGATCTGTGTAATATATTTAGTCATATAAGTTTGACAATTTTAGGTGAAGTAAAGAACGTCTGTTTGAACTTGATGATGTTCAAACACGTCAAATTGCTTTTAGTTCTGTTGCAGGTTCTTACTTGAGATGGCAGGGTTACAGGTCAGTTGACTGGAGTCTTAGTTGATATATCATTCCAAGCTTGTCCTTAACATTCAGTCACACTGTTTGAGAGTCCTGGGCTCTTGGCACCGAGAGGTCGTGGTCAGCATTTTTCCTAGTTACTGAACCAGAAAACAGGTGCGTGATTGAAGCAAGAGCAGATCCTTTGTCTAGTTTGATCTCTGTGTTCCTGCTCGTTGTTCGAAATACATTCTCCCCGGATCTCATTGGTTTTGTGTAAGAAATCCTTCCGTTTATTCCGAAAGAATACTCAAATTCTTTCAGTCTTGTGGAGGTTATTTTCCTCCTGTCTTGGTTTCTTTGATGGGGAACCAGATAGCAGAGTTGTTGTGCATTTTCTACAGGGTATCTTCCTTGAAACATGTATAATATGACTGAGGGCAACGTTTGCCATCATATAACCTGAGAAACCTTTGGTTTCATAACTCAATAGCCTCTACCTTGAGCATTAAACCCCTGAAGTTTGGCGATCGACTTGCACCTTAACCTCCTAAAAGGAGTATGATCTACAACAGTGTACTGTAGCCTACCAATGCATCCGGTTAATACTTTTCTTTTGTTTTCTTCTTCTCTGTTTAAAGCATCCTGTCAATTCTTGTTCTCACAAAAATGAACTATTCTATTTGTTTTCTGTTGAACTCCTTTCACTATCTTTTTTGTGTAGTTTGTAAAAAGTTTCATACCGTACATAGAAAGCACATAAAAGCTAGAACAGCAATTTAGCTTTAATTCCACAAGTAGGATAGCTAATTATTGGCTCTAAGGATCGTTTTCTTTTTCATCTCTCTCTCCTCCTCAACATCCACACAGTCAAGTGAGGGGCTAAATTTACATCTCTCAATCGTAAATCCACATCTTTAGAGCATTGATGCTATGTATTATCAGTACTAAAATATATACGACATGTCGATTTAAGACGAAGGAATGTGAACTTAGCATTTTGCAGGAAAACTTCAAGGATTCTTAATCCTTGTAGAATCACCAGGTCCAGAATATTGGACTTTCAAGACCTTCCTTCCCTACTGTGGTGGCTTGGGATGTGGGCTGCGTTATTGGAGCGTCGTGGTGTCAGTTCCTGAGAATGAGTGTAATTTTGTAAGGGATCGTAGAGGACAGAAAACTTTTATGTACTTATTCCCTCTTAAATCAATTACTAAACTGAAAAAAATAAAATTGGGCTAATTGTTTGGATAAACAAAAATACAGAGAATCCAGCAGGCCAAATCACTTGACGACATTAAATCTTTTTGTCTGCGCAGTAATGGGAATTTTAAAATGGTGATGACACAATCAAAAACCACAACCAATTTTATTGATTTATTTGCATCTTCTTGTACTTAAATCAGCATGATCTCTGCATGCAAAGACAATTCTTGAAATGAGTACGATTAATATTTGTAAAATCATGAGTGTGATATGACAGAAGATTATTGTCTTTTTTATCATGCAATGTAGTTGCATCCCTCAAGACCCCTTTTCCCTACAATACTACTGTTCTTTTTCTTTTTGTTGTCCTTTTTGTCTTCTAACACACCGTCCATATTAATTGCCTCTTTCTATGCCTGGTAACTCTTTATGGTTTACCCTTTGTACGACAGTTAAAGTGTCCATTCACCCGTTTAAAAGAAAGGGCTGTCCATTCATCTTCTGTCCAAGACAGAAAGAAGAAGAAGAAGAAACAAAAAGAGTTAATGTTGATACTTAGTCTAACAACTAGAGAGCAGATAATTGAACCAATCATAATTTGGGATTTGATTGTAAAAGGAAAAATCTCAAGCTAAGTTCTTCTTGTCCGAATAGAAGAAAAAAAAAGAATCATTAAGAGGCTGAAAATATTAAAAGGAACTTCAATAGGCAATAGCAAGTTGATTTTGATAATCACTTTCCATAATCAAATTTTCCATAATAAGAAAGGCCGTAGTCTTTCTTATTTTACTTGTAAGATGTTTAATCTCATAAAACTTCCACCCTTGCTTCGAGTTCAATGTTTCAATAATAGCATATTTATTAATTGTCTGCATTTAAATTTGTAATGCAACAATTTCTTTCACTTCAATTTCAAGTGGTAGTCTTAAGCTAGCAGACCACCCTGCCTTGATTTTCCCCTAATAGAAGTGGGATTAGATTAGATTAATGTATTGATTAAATGGAGTCAGCAGGTATCAAATTAAACTCTGCCTATCCCCTCTGGCTTCGGGCACAACCAAACACACACACACACACATTGCTGGAGTATAAAGGGTGACAAAATCTGACAAAGGGATCCCAGTCAATTCTATAAAGTCCATTTCTTGTTCCTCTTATCCTCTCTGGCAAACCCTTTCATAATCAGAGGATCCCATTAGAGTCATTTTCAGGTGTCCATTTCTCATATTTCTGCAAGCAATCTCCAAAAATATGCTACCCTTTTTACCAGCTACAGACAGAAATTTCTACGTTAACTAAGTTACAACAAAGGTAAAAGAACTGCCTCCCAATCAATCCATCCATCATTGAAGTTCGCAAACCTTTTTTTTTTTTAACCCCTACAGAAGAAGTCTTGCTAGCTAGTCATAGGAATTTAAGTTCAATGGATGCAAGAAAAATAGTGGTGGTTGTGGAAGATGTAGATGTGGCGAGAACAGCCCTGCAGTGGACTTTACACAATCTTCTTCGTTATGGGGATTTGATTACTCTGCTCCATGTTTTCCCATCAACAAGATCTAGGAACAAGAACAAGCTCAGACTTCTCAGGTTAAAGGGCTTCCACTTGGCTCTTTCCTTCAAAGATATCTGCAACAATTTCCCAAATGTAAGTGGCAAGATCAAATTCCTCCAGTACCTTTTTTTTTTTGTTTATTGATGTAGAAGATAATTTGGTATGGTTATGATTAATGACCAAGTGTATGATTTAGGATTATAATGGTTGCAGACCAAGACTGAGATTGTTGTGACTGAAGAGGACCGAGAAGGAGGAAGGATTGTGACCATTGTTAGAGAGCTTGGAGCTTCTACTCTTGTAGTTGGGCTTCATGATCAGAGCTTTCTGTACAAGTAAGTAGTGTTAAAAATTCTTTCTTGGAAATTGAATCATAACAATGATTGAGGAATAGATGATGGAAATCATGAGATTGAAAGCATCTTCGAAGTTTGAACTGATCAAAAAAGCTGTGGCTGATGGAGATGAATGATTGATTGGTTAAGGCTGCCTGCCATAAAGCTTGATTGGTCAACGTTCAATTCACTTCCTTGTTTCGGTCCATAGATTGATTCACACGACGGTTTTCTACACTTGCTCTGTGCACGTTGCTGACCTGCTAGGCTTTAATAGAATATGCTTTCTTATATTTAATTTTTGCATTAAATTACAGGAATTTTGTACATTTGCACTTTAGAGGCAAATGACACGGAAAAAAAAAAGAAGGAAAAAAGAAACTATAGCAATAAGCTGTAATGGGTTTTCTGTTTTTTTGTCTAAAAAGAAAAAGAAAAAGAAAAAAATTTCTAGAAAAGGGTGAGATTTCTGTGCCTGGCTGCATTAGGTGCAAAAATTTTGGCTCACAGGAAATATGTGGAGCACATATGAGAATTTCGTGATATGGCAGGAGTAGTGCCATAGTTGCTTCTTAATGTAGTGTATGGTCCATAGGCGTCTTTAAATGGACATTAGTTTATAATTTAATTCATACATTTTAAGAATGTATTGATTAAGCTTTAAGGATCAAAATACAACTTTTTAATGCAGCATTTCCCCAAAAAAAAAAAAAAAAAAAAGGTCGATATGGGAGACCTACAAATTCAGTAGCTTCACACAAATTAATGGTTCGGTTAGCTACCAAATGCAAATGCCCTCAACTGTCATGTTGACCGGGACTTTGATCTTGATGCTTACTAACCTGAAGCATGTGGTTTCTCATGCTTTTATGTTAAAACTCAACAAAATTTCTCATGCATTTTTAATTAATTAGAGTTGCACAGCTGCCAGCTTCTTTAAAATATTGAAATGGACAGCAAGAATCAAGAATGGAGTGTGATGGCTAATGCCATATACATAATTCATTTTTTTAGAGGATAGGACGAACTTGAGTTGCACCCAGACCAGGTAATTCTTCCTCATATGGATCAATCTTTTATGTACTAATCATGTATATACTATCGTCATTAGATATATAACGATTAATTTGAATTTAGATTTCAAGTTTTTAATTTTGCACGTATCCTGTATCCAACCGTGATAGTTCAGACACTCTCTCTCGTATGGAAGATTCTGCATCATGCATGTTGCTCAATCAAGAACCTCTATGCCTTGATTGGTTGTCCTCCACTTTCGTTGTTGTGTATTGCAACGTAGATTCAATGAGCCTTATCAATTATCCTGGAAATTTTACTTGTCCCATTTTACTTCATGCAATTCGGGCTACGAAAATTCAAGAAAGTTGTCTCAGTCAAAATTATGTGTGGTACTGTATCCATTCATGGAAATGAGGAGCTTTCATTCAAACCCGAAACTTCTTTGTCTGAAACACTAAAATGACAATATATTATGTGGGTTTAGGTTGGCAATGGACCACAACAATGTTGTGAACGCTTTGAATTGCAAAGTCCTAGCCGTCAAAGCCCCAACATCAATGGCGACAAGGACTATTTCTGTGCCGGATAGTTCAACCAACATGGACTTCTCCCAGATTGAAATTTCTGCATTAAGGTAATATAACTAATTCTATTGATCTTTTGGTATGGCATAAAGTTTCTTACCTGCTCCAGGCAGTGAAAATGGACCTCTATGGTCATTGATATTCAAGGACATCTAATACTATAATCCATCAAAATGCCCCATTAGATCCTGATTCCACTGATCAAGGTTTCACTAGATTTGATCAGCCTTCGAGATTTCAGACAATGGTCAACAACACTAAATAAGTGACCTTAATTTTGCACAATTGACATTTCTATGGGGACTTTAACGGGTCTTTTATTTTAGTTTTTTAAGTTAAAGGATGACAACTTACATTTTATCCGTCACCCAAAATGGGATGGCTAGCGTTGAAGGAAAAAAAAAGAAGATTTTTCTAACAAGTGCCTCGTTAATACTTCTAGACATACACATCTTAATAATTATTATTCTCTTTTATATTTATATACTTTCCCTATTTAGTCTTGCCTATCCTCCCTTATATTTATTTACTTTTTCCAATTAATCTTATATTTTCAAAAATATAACACCTGAAATATATTCTAATGGGTACCTGTTAGTCAAACCGGAAAAAAAAAAAAAAAGACATGTTACCACTAATACTACAGTAGGACTCAATTTAGACATCCTTAGGGCTCTTTCAGTTTTGCAATATTTTAAACCAAATTATTCATGTTCTATTCGACAGTGATCTCATTGATTAGGAACTCTATTTTTGAACTTAATGTGGTTTGTGTGTTTCTTTATGTAATGGATACTTTTATTATAGGTCAATTAAAGTACCAACTCCTCAATGAGGTGGTCACACACACGTCAGCACCACGTCCGGGTCAACTTGTGGCATAAATTGTACCTATCCATTTTTCTCCTTTTTTTTGTTTGGGGGGGTTGGGTTGGTGGGGTGTTTTTTTGGGTGGCGTTTGTAGAAATTATTGGGCCACAAGAAACAAGGGAAATTCACATACAATAGAATGGATGCTAACATCAGACTAAGATTTACGTTAATGATGGTACGTTGGGATTCTTGATATGTTATTGATAATGTTGCTCAAAATTAGACTGCTTATTTTGCAGCATACCAGAAATTCCTCCTCAAAAAATTCCTTACCAGCTTTGTCCAGACCCTTCAGCAATTATATGGAGATCAAGAAGATCAAGAAGAAGTTTAAGAAGAAAAATTTGACCATTCCTTCTTCAAAATAGTTAACTGACGGATGATGTAATAGTTGTTGACTCACACAGCACATAGAAAATAGAAACTAGAAAAAAAAAAAAAATATATATATATATATATATATATAGTCACAGAGCTGCTTGCACTCAACACACTCTTTCTGATTGGAGAAGGTCTCATCGTGGCAGCAGCTTGAACTTGTATCTTAGACGTGGATTGGAAGAGTGACTTGATCACGCTTTGAATTTACCCTTCGGTGCGCCTTCCATAGGGGATCTGAAGGCGTGATTGGAAGCATGGAAACTGGAAAGAGCCAAAAGTGCTTTCACTATTTCTGGGTTGGGGGAGGTGGTGTGGGGGGGGGGGGGGGGGTCAAGGGACTTCAAGAAGGATCATTCTTAGATGTAGTTGATTACCTCAGTGTAATAGTTATAGTTCACGCTTTAGAAGGAAATACATGAAGGCATAAAGATTGCAATGTGTAATTGGAATTCCAAACAATGCCATGGTTATTCAGTTATTGCTTTTGAGGTCAAAATGCTTAATTCATGAGAGAAACTTGGCAAGATTGAAACTCAACAATAAAGTTCTATTATGCACAAACTCTCGCTTTAACTTTTTTTTTTTTGAATTAGAGGCCTTGGATTCTAACGTCTTTGCTCCTTTTCACTTCTTAAATCTCACCTCTTCTCTAGAGCTACAAACGAATCAAATTGCTTGCGAGTTAATTCGGTCAAAACTCGACTCAAACTCAGCCAACATCAAAATCAAGTCAACTAAGTTGAGCTGTCAAACTCGAACCGAGCATATAGAAACTCTATGCATTAACTCGCAACCAAACTCAAATATATATATATATATATATTTATAATTTTAATCATAAAATTACACATATATCCTTAATATTTTTATTTTTTAAGAAAAAAATCTATTATATTCATTTTAAAAATAAAATAATTATTTTTTTAATTTTTTGAGCTTGAGTAGGCTTGAACTCAAGTTCAACTAGGTTTGAATTTGAAATCGAATTTGAATTTTACACTGAAAACTTGTCGAGTTTAAGTTTGATAAAATTGAGTTGAATTCAGCTTGATTAGACCAAAACTTGATTCGACTTCACTTGTTTGCAACCCTACTCCTCCCTTGCTAGAAATATTTTGAAAAAATAATTGTAGAAGGTAAAAAATTGTCTTCTAGCCTCTAAAGTAATCATGAAATTCTAATAGGCTTCAAATATCAAACATGGTATCTGAAATTCACTTAAAGCTTTAATTTCTGTATGAGTGGAATAACGTGGCACAAATTGTAAAAAACTTGAATCCTTTGGACTGGTGGGCACCACCAATACATTAACGTTTGGTGGGGTGGGAGTCAAGGGTTCAAATCTTGCCTCCCTCCAATTTGCCACATTAAAAAGTGGCTTTGCTTAAAAAATCCGAACGAGTGTGTAAGAATATCGTATCGACAAAAAAAAAAATAGAGTTGAGATAAATCACTAGGTCAGCAAAATCATGGGGTGTTTTAGGCTTTTAGTATTTGCATTTTTTGGAAATTATTCAACAACTAAGCTGGGCTTGTGGGCTAGCTGGACCGTGGGGCTCAATTAAACAAAAGCCTGGAACAGCCGCCTCAGGCCGGCTTGAATCAACTCTTGTATGGTTTTTCGACTTCAGCTCAACTCAAGCCCGAGCATTTTCCAGAGCCACATGCACAAATGGAAATGGTCCAACCATCTTCATCCAACTCAACTCAACAAGCTCAGCTGGGCTTTTTTGTTCCTTTTTTTTTTTTTTTGTCTTGTTTTTTAATCTTCCAGTGGCGTCAGAACGCCTACCAAACACGTCGTTTGAGCCGCCGTTTCAAAAGGCGTTACTACTCTATTCTGAAGGTGCAAGGTAAGGGAGTAAAAAGTAAAACGAGTTTTACATGTAAGACCTTGAAAATTAAAGTTTCTTGGAAAATTTCATTTTAGTTGAATTATTTCCATTGAATCTATAGATGTTATTAACTTTTACCTTTTAAACTATAGGTGTTAGTATTTGGTTACTATAAGCCTGAATCTTAGTAAAAAAGAAACTACAATTTGTGGAATCCTCTCGACCATAGGATAAGAAGAAAATCTAAATGAATAAGAAAATTGTGCAAATTGAGTTCATGAGTAAAAGGCAAATTAGAAAGATTGATTTTGTGAATAATATCAGCGAATTCGAATTGAAGATAAAAACTTCTTAAAAAATATTGCATGATTTCGTAAGAAAAATATTACAAATGTACAATTTTCAACTTTTGATTCCATATGCTTTGTACTAATTTCAATTCGATTTTTCATGTTTCAATTCAAATCACTTTGATTATTTATAATTTGATTTCATATCACTATTATTACATTTCTATAATTACATTCATCATCTTTGAGAACTACTATATATTAGAAACAACAAGCTATGTAACTATAGAAAACCAAATTCAAATGAAACATAATCATCGGGAGTGTGAGATTGAACAAGGGAAAAATGAAAAGAATTTGAGCAATGTCCAAATGAAAAAAATACAAGAGACTAAAGTACAACCGATGCAAAAGTCGCGGGGGCAAAAACTGCAATTATCCCCTTTGGTTTGGTTGCCTTAGTCTAAGTAGTGGCGTCACGGCTCCGCTAACCCAACAGCGTCGCCGATCCCTTCTTTCTCTCCCAGAGACATCTCTCCTCTCTAATCACAGATTTCGTCTCAGTCGACTCGCTCACACCACTTTCCCTTTTTCGGCTTTGGCTCATTTCAACTCAAAAATACCACTCAAGAGTGAGACTCAGTTTTCAGTCCCCAGCAGCGGCAGCAGCAGCAGCAGAAGTAGCCACAGCTTGCAGATCCCAACTCTACCCTCTTAACTCCGCTCTCAGCTCAGCTCAA